TGAAATGAATGTGAGTTGAGTAGGAATGATAGGTTTAGAGTGAAATGATGTAGAGTTTAGAGTGAAACTCTCTCTGTAATCATTTTGTAGAAGTTGTGCTTTGAGTAGTGCATGCATGCTTTTGTTCTCTTTTTGTCCCTCACAGTTAGCAGGCATTGTGACCTAGTGGACCAGACCTGCCCACCTGAGGAGGGGAAACCCACCATGTAATAGAGTAAAGTATGTTCACCCTGTTACCCTGTTGACAGCTGCTTAACATTGACATTTTAACATGTATATTTGTGAAATAAAGCTGCATTCTATTTGGTCATGAATGCCTCATGAATGCCTCTGTTATTGTCCTTGTGAAGGGAAGCCCCTACATCTGCAAAACAACTTTGGATTTAGATTGAGGGTCCACAGGTTCCTCCATCCCCTCAACGGGAGTTGGTGTTGTCAGCTATTTAAAGGTGACCCCAGCCACAGTTACCACATATGCATCAGAGAGGGTGTTTTCACTGTTGGCCTAATATATCATTGGTCAACTGAACTTGACAACACTAAACACAACCACACCTTAACATAAGCAAAAACAGACTACCTGCTCACCTGGAGATGTCGCACTAAACCTTCTATACATTTTTGACAAGGAGTAAATTATATTAAATCAAATGTTGGCAGTGCTAAACATTGCCAGACCAAAACAAATGTTCTTTACAATCTCCAGAAGATGTTGGTCGGGAGGGATAATGGTCTGTTTTTAAAACGCTTTCTAGCAAGTGAAGACCAAGCTGCCCATCACACTAAAGCTTTGTAAACATTAAATTGAGCCACCACATTACCACAAATAATTCCCAGCTTGTGCAAAATGAAGATGAACATTAGGCAAAAAAGACCATAAGCTTGTGTGGATATATCTTATAAAACATAATGTATTCATTTCAGGCAGGGAGACTTATTGCTTTGTGTCTCATATTTCTTTTCATTCACAACTGATCGTTGCACTGACTTGCTCCTCTGCTGCCCTCCAGTGGCCACAAGGCACAACAGGTACTTTTACATTACAGCATGTAGCTCCAAAGCACACAAGTATTTCCTTCTGAAAACGCACTTGCACTTTACTAAAGCTCTAAAAATGACACATGAACACAAATGTAAACTATATACAATACAATCAGGAAGATAGTACAATACGAATGCTCTAATAACAGTGAGCAGAGATGTATTTTGATGCCTGGGCATAATGTAGAGGGTAATAGTCAAATGACTGCCACAAGGCCTTTCTATGACACTGAATAGGAACAGACCACAGCTCTGATTTAGGAGATCTTGCTGACCAACAAACCTGGATAGGTTTAACAAAAAGCATCTTTAAAATGAGACTTTCTCAGAATAAAGAGAAATGATGTGCCTCGTGTTAAAACATTCTGCAATCCAGACTGACTCTTTTGACTTTCTTAATGTTACACCAGCAAAGCCTTGTACCCTGATGCTAAATTACTACTAAGCTACATTTGAAACATTCAGCACTTTTCTATAACTTAGAGGCTGCACTGTCTGCTGTTCAGCAACAGTTAAGGAGACTGGCTTTAAAGGGGAGATGTACTGTCAAAGTGTATGATTAACAGACTGTCTCAGCCTATTCTTTTCTGTCTGATGGAGACTTCATACTGACTTCAACATGTTCCACATATTTTATACATTATTGGTGACGTATGGTTTTAGTCGAAAAGTTTGCAGTCAAAATATTCTGCTGCTTTCCCAAGCCTTTTTACTTTCTTTTCTCTTCCTAATACACATTCATTCACTACTACTTACATCTGATATGTAACTCCTTCAGCCTACTTGCAGCTGCAGAAACCATTCAACTATTAACTTATTCAGCTATTTCAGGACATTGAGGATATACATGTTGTTTATACCTTTTTTAAACCTTTTCTTTTAAATATTAAGCTTCTCCACTATTTTTCCTACTCTTCCAGTTTAACATTTCACTTTCAAGTTTTCAACAAAGTCATTGCAATGCATTTGAGCTGTAATAATTTGATTCATATCATTTCACTTTTCTGCATTCCTCCGCTAAGTTCAGCAACACCCTGGGTGTTTCTCAATCTCGAGTAAAGCTGCTCCAGAGCCACTATTTCAAGCATACTACGTCATCGAGCGCCGCCGAAGGACTGTTCCAATCTCCAGCATACTTGGAAATCTACCGAGCCCGGCGTACTCCGTTTGGAGAAATATCGAGGCTGCACATGAGTAGACTCCGCGGTCTTAAAATCCCCACAATGCTTTGCGCACGGACTAATTTCCCCAAATCTGTGACGGAAAATGTAAGGCGGGGCCTCTCATATGACGCACACCTGCACACTTGCTAGCCTGTTCCACTCTTCGTTTTCCGAATGCCCGGAAGTATTCTTGCCTCGCTTCTGAAGCAAGACGCTCGGAAGACATGTGCTACCAAGCAAGCGTACTCCCGATTGAGAAACACCCACAGACTTGGTCTCTCTAGCTAAAAGCAGCTACCATTCAGCTAATAAAATATTCAGCTTTTTCAGCTAAATTCAGCCACAAATGTTCACAGTTTACAGCATTCGCACGCATTTTCTGCAGGAAATGCTTTTTCTAGTTGAATTTGGTTTAGTGTTTCTTATTTATTTTATTCTTTCTTATGCAATTATTTATATTGTAAATGTCATTTTCAATTGTGGAAATAATTGTAACACATTCAATGATTCCGTGTTTAGACACTTATTTGCAGTTACTTACTCATTTAATTTGCTTTTTTCCCCCCGTTTGATACTCTGGTCAAATTGTACTAACTCAACGTGTGAGAGAAAACATACAGTGGCCAGTACGGGTATCGAACCCGCGACCTTCGCGTTATTAGTACGACGCTCTAACCAACTGAGGTAACCAGCCATTGGTAGTCCCTGTAGTGACGTAATCAAACAAAATAAACGAAACCTACAGAACCGGAAGGTAAATATTCCTGGTTGGTATCTCGTTACAAGGTGTAGGCTACAACTGTTATTGAGCAGTGACCCCTACTGAAGATTTAAGATATTGCACTTTAAAATACTTCTCATATAATCATCCCATATGGACTGACGTATGTTTAAATGATGTTCACACATTTATAGAGATATATATATATATATATATATATATACATACATTCTGATATCTACGCGTTAACTTGACAGCCGTAATATATTCATAACGTTTTCACACACCGAAGTGATATAGCGCCAAGACATTTGACCCTCTATTGACTCCATACCAAAATAAGAATCATTTAGCCAATGTGTAAAAATAACCTTTTTATGTGAGAGCTACTTGTTTAACCCCTAGAGCGACCAGTGTGAATATGTAACATTCATGAAAATAAAGGTTAGACAAAAGGACTTCTGTTCACACACATATACAAGTTTACATCTGTGTCTTTATTGTTATCATGTTAACAAAACAGGTGAACACGTAACATCTCAGCTGCTAAGGACAAGTTGTGCGAGATGCACAAACTGAGGGAAAAGTATCTGAACAAGGCCCATCATTCCACTTCCCCCACCAGTTGTTGAGTACACAGTCTTCACCTCGTCCGCTGTTGTTTGGTTGTCCTCTGTACCAAAAGAAATACTTGGCTGCACACCCATCAGACCACATCCATCTTCCTTCTTTGGGGATGTCATGGAGTCCGATCCATGTATATCCCTCAGCAGGGTCAGAGCTTTGGATCAGGAATTTGACAAAATCCTCTTCCTCTCTACTGTGGATAGACACCAGGTTGCCTCCCTGGGACACACAGTAGAGCTCTGCATCAGCCCAGGTCGTCTCTGTGTTGAAGTACTTGTAGCAGCGGCCGTTGAAGGAGAACCAGAAGGAGGGACAGGTGTCTTGCTGCAGATCCATTTGAGTGTCATCTGAAGAAGACACGGCACCCAGAGCCAGGTCCAACAGGAAGAGGAAAACCAGCATGATGATGATGTCACCGTCTCTGTCTGTTAAAGTTGCACTGAACCGTTGGAGAGGATGGCGATTGTGAAGCTTCAAGTGACAGGCTGCTTGTTATATATGTGTGGGAATGTGACGTCATTGTCACGTGACGTGATCACATGACCGGTGCCCGGTAAACTGTAAATTATAAAAGTTTTTCCGGCAGTTTCAGAAAACTTTTCGCTTGTCTGCACGCTCACCGATATCTCTGACGGTTCAGTGCAACTTCAAACAGGAAGATTGAGTGCGAGTGAAATTACGATTGTGAGTCTTTTCAGTACATCTTCGTGGACATTGTTGGGTGCATTTGGTTTGTTTGAGTGTAGTACGACCGGGGCACGGTCTCCCCAAACGGCTTTGCTGTTTGGGCCCCTCCCCCCGGTGCTGTGATCTTGTGCGGCGCAAGTGTTGATGGCAACTGCGTCTGGAGTGGACAGTGAAGAGGTGCCGAACATGGAAGGCGGAAGAGCTGGTGAAAAGACGGACGAAAGGAAGGACAACGAAGAGCAAGAACAAGGCAAGAAAACGGGAGAGGAAGGAAAAGAGGGGCAGAAGGAGAGAGTGAGGTACAGTGTGGATTTAACTGTGGAGGTAGTTGTGGAAGGTGTATTGACTATGATGGACCTGCTGAAAGGAATTCAGAAACAGTGTGGGACAGTGGATGGGTGCAGGGTGACAGGAGAACAATACGAAGTAACTATGAGGACCATCCTGGGGAAAACGAAACTAATGGAGGGGCTGAGAGTGAATGGGGCTGCGGTACACGCTAAAAACATTATGAGCACTGATGCGACCGTCTCTTTCCTGCATCTGCCTGTTTATCTGCCTGATAGAATAATATTAAATAGGCTTGAGGAGTGGGGAGTTAAGCCCATCTCGGTCATTAAAAAAAGAGTGTGGCCAGACTCGGACATTGCAGACGGCACCCGGTTCCTCAGAGTAAGGTTCAATAATAAGGTCCGCTCCCTACCGTACTCCACAAAGTTTGACACGGTGAAAGGGGCGGAGTACTTCCGGGTCCTGCACAATGGCCAGGTTCCAGTGTGCAGGTTATGCATAAAGCCGGGTCATATCTACAGGGAATGCCCAGACTTCAAGTGCTTCAGGTGCAATGAGCAAGGACATTATGCCAAGGAGTGCAGGTATGGAGCTGAGCGTGCGGAGAGAGAGAGGAGAGAGAGAGAGAAAGAAGACGGGGAAGGCGAGGAGGAAAACGAGGAGGAAGATGAGGAGGAGGAGGAAGACGACAAGGAGGAGGAGGAAGAGGAGGAGGAGGAGGAGGAGGAGGTAGACGTGGGGGAAGGCGACGAAGCGGAGGGAGCAAAGAAAAGACCCCATGAGGAGATCAGCAGTGAGGATGAAGGTCCAGTGGTGGAGGACATCTCGGGGGCTTCGGGGATTGAAGAGGAAGCACCTGACGTTGGAAAGAACAAGAAAAGTGCCAGGCGCGGCGGAGGCGCCGAGGGAAGCAGCAGAAGCGCAGAGGTGAGCAGCAACGAGGGAAAGGAGCAACAGGGTCCGGTGGTGGAGGACATCTCGGAGGCTTCAGGGATGGAAGAGGAAGTGCCTGATGGAGAGGAGGGTACAATGGGCGCAATGGTCTTCGGGGGCTCCAATGGTGGGAGGTCGAGAGGTCGCAGCCAGAGGAGAGGCAGGAATGAGGAAAGGAGGGGCCACATCGGAGAGTGCCAGGCTGATGGCTAAGCGAAAAGAGGACAAAGAGAGAGAGTCAGAGAGAAGGAGGGCGAGCTTGAAGGGAGGGGGGGCCGGGAAAGACATAAGCTGAAGATGACACTAATAGCTGGCATATTAATAGCATCCCTTCTCATGGCTACTATATCATCATTTAATGGCAATGGTCTAAAAAATAAGTGCAGAAGACGCCGGGCGCTAAGTCTGTGTGAGGCCAGCATCATATGTCTGCAGGAAACACATTGGGATGGGGAGAGTGTGGATGAGGTGAAAAAGGAGTGGAGAGGTGAAGTGTTTGCAAATAATGGGGGTGAGCGGGCTAGAGGGGTGGCAATACTTATCAATTCGGGGGATGTGAAGAATGCAAGGAAGGTTGAGGATGATGGTGAAGGGAGGATGATTGGGGTACAGTATGAATACATGGGGGACACGTTTAAGTTGATCAATGTGTATGCACCTAATACAAAGAGGGAGAGAAGGGTTTTTTTTGAGGGGTTGGATGGTAAATGTGGGGGGAACTGTTTGATTGTGGGAGACTTTAATGTGTGGTGTGGGAAGTTGGATGCGCCTGCGGGTGCTCGATTCAGGAATGACTCCTCTAGGGTGGCGCTCCAAAAGATTATGGATGAGAATGGGTTGATAGATGTGTGGAGAGAAAGGAATATGGATGTTAGGGAATCTTCTTGGAGACGAGTGGTGAAGGAGAAACTTCTGCAGAGCAGGATTGATTTGGCTCTGTGCTCGGAAGCTGTGAATGAAAAGGTTGGGAAGATTGAATATAGGACCACGGCGTTGAGTGATCATATGGTTCTTGGTCTCAGGATGGGGCTGAAAGTGAATGGGAGAGGCGGGGGGGGTGTGGTGCTTGAGTGCGAAACTACTGATTGATGAGGTGTATAAAAAAAGGGTGAGAGAATGTATAAGGAAGGGGGGTGATACAAGGGACAATAATATATTAGATTGGTGGGGGGAGTTTAAAGAGGAGATCAAGAGAATAAGCATAAAACACAGTAAGGGGAAAAATATGCTTGATAGAAGAAGGGAGGAAAGGGTGAGGGGAGAGTTGGCCAAAGAGGCAGCAAAGATAGACAAAGAGATAGGGAGAGATTTAGGGAGATACACGAGGATCAAGGATGAGCTAGAGGGTATAGAGAGGGACACATGTAGGGGGGTGATTGTTAGAAGCAGGGCACAAAATGCAATGGAAGGGGAAAGGTGTACTGGGTATTTTCTGAGTTTGGAAAAAATGAAGCAGGAAAACAAATATTTAAAACAGGTTGAGGGAAAGGATGGTAGGAAAATAACAGATTTAGTCGGGATAGCAGAAAGAGTGGAGGAGTTTTACAGGGAATTATTCAAGACAGAAGAGGCGGATAGAGAGAGTGTAGAGACGGCGATAGACACTATGGATAAAGCTTTAGATGATAATGATAGAGAGATGTGTGAGGGAGGGATTGGTACAGGAGAAATTGATTTAGCAATAGTAGGGTTGGGTAGAAATAAGAGTCCGGGGTTAGATGGGTTAACGGCAGAATTCTACATCACTTTTAAGGAACTGTTGGTGCCGGTATTGCACAGGGTGTTCAAACGCATTGAGGAGGAGGATGACTTGCCGACCAGCATGGCAACCGGGGTTATAAGTATCATTTACAAAAAGGGTGATAGGGACAGGTTAGAAAATTACAGGCCGTTAAGTATGCTTAATAATGATTACAAAATATTGGCGAGGGTGTTAGGAAATAGAATAAAGAGGGTAATTGGAACGGTTGTGGGTGGGACTCAGGCGTATAGTGTACCGGGGAGGGTTATAAGTGACACGACAAGCAGCATCAGAGATACTATTAGACATATGAAGGAGGGGAAGGGTGGCATAGTAATGAGCCTTGATTTAAATAAAGCGTTTGATCGTGTCAATCATGAGTATTTATATAGAGTGTTGGGGAAAGCAGGGTTTGGGGTGAAGTTGGTGGGTTGGATAAAAAGATTATATAGTCGGGCGGTGAGTTGTGTTAAAATAAATGGGATTGTCACAAACGTGTTTAGGTTGGGGAGGTCGGTCAGGCAGGGATGTCCTCTCTCCTCAATGCTGTACGCCTTGTCCGCAGAACCTTTAGCAGCCATGCTAACTAAGAACCAAAACATCAGAGGGGTGGAGATACCGGGGGCACAGATTAGTCTCCTGTACCAGTATGCGGATGACACCACGGTTACGGTTAGGGATGGGGATAGTGTGAGAGAAGTGTTAGAGGTAGTGCAGCAGTATGGTAGAGCATCAGGGGCAAAGATCAATATAGAGAACTCAGAGGTCATGTATATAGGTGAGGGTGAGGTAGATAGGACAGGAATAGGGCTCAAAGAAAGGAAAGATTATTTTAAGGTGCTGGGTGTTAATTTGGGTATAAAAGAAGTGGAGGGGAGGGATGAGCAATATGAGGGAATCATCAACAGGATGAAGAAAACGTTAAAGTTTTGGAAGATGAGGCATTTAAAGTTAAGGGGGAAGGTAGTAGTGATAAATGGGCTCATAATGAGCAGAATAATCCATGTTCTGAATGTCATGGAAATGCCTGAAAGGGTTCACAAAGAAATAGATATGGCAATAAAAGAGTTTTTGTGGGAAGGGAAGGGTGTCAAAATTGCTAGGGAGGTGATGGAGAATGAGTATAGGGATGGAGGGATGAAGCTCATTAATCTGGAAAGGAAAAAGAAGGCGCTGAGGGTCAAAATGATATTAAAATATGTTGGTGATAAGGAAGATAAAAAAGATTATGCGTGGAAAGTATTTTTAAAAGAAGCAATTAATAAGTGTGGAGGCTGTGGTGACAGCGCCTTATTCATGGCTTTGAGAAAAGAAATGCTTAATGGCGTTTCTGGGTACCACAGGGAGGCTTTATTAGCATGGGGTGAGTTTCTAAAAGGGGTGAAGCATAAGTGTGTGAATGTTGAGCAAGTGTGGAATCAGCCCATCTTTCTAAACCATATGATCACGGTGAAGAAGTGTCCTGTATTCAATCTCCAAATGTGGAGGGCGGGTTTTAGAAACATAAGGGATTTGGTTTATGAGTATGTGCCGGGGTTCATGGGGGCACGGGTGATAGTGGATGAGGTGAGGGGTGGGGGGGGAATTATGCAGTTGAGAGCGGCGGAAGAAATCATGGAGAGGGTGAAAAAAGGTATGCCTGTGGGTTGGGTGAGAATGGTTGAATGTGAGGCTACAAGAAGTGGAGAGAGCGTGGCAGAAATGTATGTGGGGGAGGGGGATACTTGTGTTAAAATGGAGAAAGTAAACACTAGGGTGATTTACAAAATGCTGAGGGGCGGTAAAATAAGAAGACCTGCTTCTGAGCGGGTGTGGGAAAATGTTTTTGAAAGGTTTGATGGGCGGAAGGTGTGGGGAAATGTAAGGGTGAAATGGAATAGCATTGAATGTGAGCACTTTGATTTTCTTTTTCGTCACAACAGGGTGTACAACAATCTGATCATAAGCAGGTTTGATGTCACGGTGAAGAAAGAGTGTGATGTGTGTAAGGTAATGGTCGAAACGTGTATGCATGAATTTTTTGAATGTGGAGAGCTGAAAGTGTATTTTGAACGGTTGAAGGGGCTAATTGATAAGTGTTGGGGGGATAGAATATTAAAAACGATGGTATGGAAGGAGTTGTGGCTGTTTGGGATGAGTGGGGGAGTGAAAGGACCCAATGTGAATTTCTGCAACTATGTGCTGAGCCATGCCCGGTATGCTGTAAAACTTAGGAGAGACTTAGCCCATTTTGGGAACAGAAAGGTGGACGTATGGGATCTGTTCAAAAGGATTTTAAGCAAGGACGTTCAGATAGCATACGTGTACCTGGAAAAGGATGCTTTTCTGGAGAACTTTGTGGATGGGTGCACTCTGGTGGAGGTTGGTGACAATGACAAACTGGTGTTTAAATATGATAGTGTTGGCTAACATGTGGTGTGAAACGTAAAGTATGGTTTGTATATAAATGATTGCCTGTTTGCTGTGTTTTGTTTCTCGTTTTCTGTTTTTGTATTTTCAGTTCCTATGATTGAACAACCCAAGTAAGATCTATTTGTTTTTTGGCAATCTATTTTTGGCTAATTACATTCAGTTAATTTATTTTATTTTGTCATGTTTTGCATGATGATTATTTTTGATTGTTTTAAATGTAGGGCCACGTTGAAACCACTTGTACATTTTGTTAATATTAAATTGTGAATTTTCTAATAAAAAAGACAAAAAAAAAAAAACGCTCACCGATATCTCTGACGGTTCAGTGCAACTTCAAACAGGAAGATTGAGTGCGAGTGAAATTACGATTGTGAGTCTTTTCAGTACATCTTCGTGGACATTGTTGGGTGCATTTGGTTTGTTTGAGTGTAGTACGGCCGGGGCACGGCCCGTAGCACGGCCTCCCCAAACGGCTTTGCCCCTCTGGTGCGGCGCAAGTGTTGATGGCAACTGCGTCTGGAGTGGACAGTGCAGAGGTGCCGAACATGGAAGGCGGAAGAGCTGGTGAAAAGACGGACGAAAGGAAGGACAAAGAAGAGCAAGAACAAGGCAAGAAAGCGGGAGAGGAAGGAAAAGAGGGGCAGAAGGAGAGAGTGAGGTACAGTGTGGATTTAACTGTGGAAGTGGTTGTGGAAGGTGTATTGACTATGATGGACCTGCTGAAAGGAATTCAGAAACAGTGTGGGACAGTGGATGGGTGCAGGGTGACAGGAGAACAATACGAAGTAACTATGAGGACCATCCTGGGGAAAACGAAACTAATGGAGGGGCTGAGAGTAAATGGGGCTGCGGTACACGCTAAAAACATTATGAGCACTGATGCGACCGTCTCTTTCCTGCATCTGCCTGTTTATTTGCCTGATAGAATTATATTAAATAGGCTTGACGAGTGGGGAGTTAAGCCCATCTCGGTCATTAAAAAAAGAGTGTGGCCAGACTCGGACATTGCAGACGGCACCAGGTTCCTCAGAGTAAGGTTCAATAATAAGGTCCGCTCCCTACCGTACTCCACAAAGTTCGACACGGTGAAAGGGGCGGAGTACTTCCGGGTCCTGCACAATGGCCAGGTTCCAGTGTGCAGGTTATGCATAAAGCCGGGTCACATCTACAGGGAATGCCCAGACTTCAAGTGCTTCAGGTGCAATGAGCAAGGACATTATGCCAAGGAGTGCAGGTATGGAGCTGAGCGTGCGGAGAGAGAGAGGAGAGAGAGAGAGAAAGAGAGAGAGAAAGAAGATGGGGAAGGCGAGGAGGAGGACGAGGAGGAGGAGGAAGAGGAGGAGGAGGAAGACGTGGGGGAAGGCGACGAGGCGGAGGGAGCAAAGAAAAGACCCCATGAGGAGATCAGCAGTGGAGATGAAGGTCCAGTGGTGGAGGACATCTCGGGGGCTTCGGTGATTGAAGAGGAAGCACCTGACGTTGGAAAGAACAAGAAAAGTGCCAGGCGCGGCGGCGGAGGCGCCGAGGGAAGCAGCAGAAGCACCGATGTGAGCAGCAACGAGGGAAAGGAGCAACAGGGTCCGGTGGTGGAGGACATCTCGGAGGCTTCAGGGATGGAAGAGGAAGTGCCTGATGGAGAGGAGGGTACAATGGGCCCAATGGTTTTCGGGAGGTCGAGAGGTCGCAGCCAGAGGAGAGGCAGGAATGAGGAAAGGAGGGCCACATCGGAGAGTGCCAGGCTGATGGCTAAGCGAAAAGAGGACAAAGAGAGAGAGTCAGAGAGAAGGAGGGTGAACTTGAAGGGAGGGGGGGCCGGGAAAGGCATAAGCTGAAGATGACACTAATAGCTGGCATATTAATAGCATCCCTTCTCATGGCTACTATATCATCATTTAATGGCAATGGTCTAAAAAATAAGTGCAGAAGACGCCGGGCGCTAAGTCTGTGTGAGGCCAGCATCATATGTCTGCAGGAAACACATTGGGATGGGGAGAGTGTGGATGAGGTTAAAAAGGAGTGGAGAGGTGAAGTGTTTGCAAATAATGGGGGTGAGCGGGCTAGAGGGGTGGCAATACTTATCAATTCGGGGGATGTGAAGAATGCAAGGAAGGTTGAGGATGATGGTGAAGGGAGGATGATTGGGGTACAGTATGAATACATGGGGGACACGTTTAAGTTGATCAATGTGTATGCACCTAATACAAAGAGGGAGAGAAGGTTTTTTTTTGAGGGGTTGGATGGTAAATGTGGGGGGAACTGTTTGATTGTGGGAGACTTTAATGTGTGGTGTGGGAAGTTGGATGCGCCTGCGGGAGCTCGTTTTAGGAATGACTCCTCTAGGGTGGCGCTCCAAAAGATTATGGATGAGAATGGGTTGATAGATGTGTGGAGAGAAAGGAATATGGATGTTAGGGAATCTTCTTGGAGACGAGTGGTGAAGGATAAACTTCTGCAGAGCAGGATTGATTTGGCTCTGTGCTCGGAAGCTGTGAATGAAAAGGTTGGGAAGATTGAATATAGGACCACGGCGTTGAGTGATCATATGGTTCTTAGTCTCAGGATGGGGCTGAAAGTGAATGGGAGAGGCGGGGGGGTGTGGTGCTTGAGTGCAAAACTACTGAATGATGAGGTGTATAAAAAAAGGGTGAGAGAATGTATAAGGAAGGGGGGTGATACAAGGGACAATAATATATTAGATTGGTGGGGGGAGTTTAAAGAGGAGATCAAGAGAATCAGCATAAAACACAGTAAGGGGAAAAATATGCTTGATAGAAGAAGGGAGGAAAGGGTGAGGGGAGAGTTGGCCAAAGAGGCAGCGAAGATAGACAAAGAGATGGGGAGAGATTTAGGGAGATACACGAGGATCAAGGATGAGCTAGAGGGTATAGAGAGGGACACATGTAGGGGGGTGATTGTTAGAAGCAGGGCACAAAATGCAATGGAAGGGGAAAGGTGTACTGGGTATTTTCTGAGTTTGGAAAAAATGAAGCAGGAAAACAAATATTTAAAACAGGTTGAGGGAAAGGATGGTAGGAAAATAACAGATTTAGTCGGGATAGCAGAAAGAGTGGAGGAGTTTTACAGGGAATTATTCAAGACCGAAGAGGCGGATAGAGAGAGTGTAGAGACGGCGATAGACACTATGGATAAAGCTTTAGATGATAATGATAGAGAGATGTGTGAGGGAGGGATTGGTGCAGGAGAAATTGATTTAGCAATAGTAGGGTTGGGTAGAAATAAGAGTCCGGGGTTAGATGGGTTAACGGCAGAATTCTACATCACTTTTAAGGAACTGTTGGTGCCGGTATTGCACAGGGTGTTCAAACGCATTGAGGAGGAGGATGACTTGCCGACCAGCATGGCAACCGGGGTTATAAGTATAATTTACAAAAAGGGTGATAGGGACAGGTTAGAAAATTACAGGCCGTTAAGTATGCTTAATAATGATTACAAAATATTGGCGAGGGTGTTAGGAAATAGAATAAAGAGGGTAATTGGAACGGTTGTGGGTGGGACTCAGGCGTATAGTGTACCGGGGAGGGTTATAAGTGACACGACAAGCAGCATCAGAGATACTATTAGACATATGAAGGAGGGGAAGGGTGGCATAGTAATGAGCCTTGATTTAAATAAAGCGTTTGATCGTGTCAATCATGAGTATTTATATAGAGTGTTGGGGAAAGCAGGGTTTGGGGTGAAGTTGGTGGGATGGATAAAAAGATTATATAGTCGGGCGGTGAGTTGTGTTAAAATAAATGGGATCGTCACAAACGTGTTTAGGTTGGGGAGGTCGGTCAGGCAGGGATGTCCTCTCTCCTCAATGCTGTATGCCTTGTCGGCAGAACCTTTAGCAGCCATGCTAACTAAGAACCAAAACATCAGAGGGGTGGAGATACCGGGGGCACAGACTAGTCTCCTGTACCAGTATGCGGATGACACCACGGTTACGGTTAGGGATGGGGATAGTGTGAGAGAAGTGTTAGAGGTAGTGCAGCAGTATGGTAGAGCATCAGGGGCAAAGATCAATATAGAGAAATCAGAGGTCATGTATATAGGTGAGGGTGAGGTAGATAGGACAGGAATAGGGCTCAAAGAAAGGAAAGATTATTTTAAGGTGCTGGGTGTTAATTTGGGTATAAAAGAAATGGAGGGGAGGGATGAGCAATATGAGGGAATCATCAACAGGATGAAGAAAACGTTAAAGTTTTGGAAGATGAGGCATTTAAAGTTAAGGGGGAAGGTAGTAGTGATAAATGGGCTCATAATGAGCAGAATAATCCATGTTCTGAATGTCATGGAAATGCCTGAAAGGGTTCACAAAGAAATAGATATGGCAATAAAAGAGTTTTTGTGGGAAGGGAAGGGTGTCAAAATTGCTAGGGAGGTGATGGAGAATGAGTATAGGGATGGAGGGATGAAGCTAATTAATCTGGAAAGGAAAAAGAAGGCGCTGAGGGTCAAAATGATATTAAAATATGTTGGTGATAAGGAAGATAAAAAAGATTATGCGTGGAAAGTATTTTTAAAAGAAGCAATTAATAAGTGTGGAGGCTGTGGTGACAGCGCCTTATTCATGGCTTTGAGAAAAGAAATGCTTAATGGCGTTTCTGGGTACCACAGGGAGGCCTTATTAGCATGGGGTGAGTTTCTAAAAGGGGTGAAGCATAAGTGTGTGAATGTTGAGCAAGTGTGGAATCAGCCCATCTTTCTAAACCATATGATCACGGTGAAGAAGTGTCCTGTATTCAATCTCCAAATGTGGAGGGCGGGTTTTAGAAACATAAGGGATTTGGTTTATGAGTATGTGCCGGGGTTCATGGGGGCACGGGTGATAGTGGATGAGGTGAGGGGTGGGGGGGGGAATTATGCAGTTGAGAGCGGCGGAAGAAATCATGGAGAGGGTGAAAAAAGGTATGCCTGTGGGTTGGGTGAGAATGGTTGAATGTGAGGCTACAAGAAGTGGAGAGAGCGTGGCAGAAATGTATGTGGGGGAGGGGGGATACTTGTGTTAAAATGGAGAAAGGTCCAGAAAGGTTTGGTTCTTTTGGGGAGGTGGAGACAAATCGCATTGTTTGGTGGATGCAGTTTCAACCAGAGTAGCAGCATGGAGGTCGGATCGTCACCAAAATAAATAAGTGGTCCGAAATGTTAAAGTTAATGAAAAACAAAATACACATAACCTTCCTCAGTCAGTGTGTTTGTGCCGGGGACAAGAGACCCCCCCCCTTGATGAGAAACTGTAAGAAAGTATCGGGAAATCCCTCCGGAGTGGAGTCATGACGACTGGATCTGAATTATTCATTTGTATTTGGTAGTTTGTGTTCCAGCTGTCGATCAGCTGTGCCACTGCAGGCTGTGCGTCTCAACCCCCTCCCCGCAGCAACTCTATAGGCTATCCACCAGTTAAAATGAAATAAAACACAATTAGCTGCACAATTTACCATATAGGTGTGCTTAGTTTCCATACCTCCTGTGTTTTACGAGCGACTTATCAAGTATTGAAGAACGCCATTAAACATGATATATAAAACCATGCTCGTATCTATCTAACCTATAGAAATACAAAACGGCGTCAGTTTAAAGTAATTCTGTCCTGTTTACCGCATCAATTATGAGAATACATTTCTTAACAAGAGAACATGTCATCGAGGGGTGATCAATAACATTTCCGTATTTATTTATTTCTCCAATGTGTTTGTGTGCACTGAGGAGTCTCCAACAGGCGTTTGTTTCATCATTTTAAGATTGGCTTTAATCAAGTATTTCTTCATATATGATAAATGAGAGGTAACATTTTATTTATGGTATTATTTCCACATATTTCTCTCCATTCTTCCTTCTGCCAACGGTGTCGCAGTTTCTCGTCTCTCCCGTTGTTGTGCGTACCGCGTACGGATGGGTCAGAGTGTGCGTGGAGGACCCATGGATGTATAATAAGAACGGAGGACCGCACATTTTCCCGTCAAGTTAGTTTTTTATAAATCGCAAACAGTGCGTAGAAACTGGCGTACGCCATCTTTTGGGCGTACGCACCGTTTATAAATGAGGCCCCAGGTCTGTTACAAGCAATGTGTTTTTAATATGGTGTTTTACTCAAAGTTGTAATCGTTTTTAAGTAACTTGTACGTGTTTTGCAGAGTGTAGAAGTGCTCATAACCAGCCAAGCAACCCGGGAAACTGGCTATGGACGTTTGTTCACTGTATTCTAGCTCTTATTATTCTTTATAACATCTGTTTTTGTGTTTAATCCATAGAGCTGAATATGAGCGTTTCCCCTCCTGGATTGAGCCTGGAGGATCTATTGCTCTGTAAAAGTAAGCCTGGTGTTTAACCTTCTTTAATGTTATATTGAATTGGTGTTTGAGCTGGCAACTATTATGTTGCGTTTGTTTTTTAAAAAGACTACTGTCTAGTGCTTTTTTATTTTTATTTTCTGTCAATAGTTTTCTTGTGTGCAGATTGTGGGCAATATAATTGACTAAGTGTTTGTGTTACAGGCTCCTCTCCCTCTGGGGGAACCTCGTCTGCTTTCAGCGTAGGGACTGCACCGGATATTCATTTCCTGGTGTTTGCTAAATACCTCCAATTGGACTTTTAAATGATCCCAGTTGTCCTCAGTGTTATCATGCCACCTGCCTGTGCTCTTTAATGTGTCTTCTAGTATTTTCTGTTAGTGATTTATTGTGTATGTTTGCTTGTTTCCTGTTTCCTTGCCCCCTTAAGGACCAACACAATTATCCTGATAGACGCAGCGGGTAACGTGACCTTCACAGAGCGCACCATGCCCACCTGTGACACGAACAAATGGAGCACCAATTCTTTCCAGTTCAAACTGGAGGTGTGAAGACGTGATGGAGGAAACCCACTCTGTGCCTTTCTGCATCCCCATTCTGCAAACACTCACTTTTGGCTCATTATGAAATGATTGTTAGCACAAAGACACGGTGGGGAACCCAATTCTCTTTTTATTTTGTTACACACCTGTCAAATTATGTCTGCTTTTTCATCTTTATCAAAACATCTGGTTCTAGCTTTAACCTTATGTATATTACCTTTTGTGTTTCTTTGCAGTTTACCCACACACAGGTGTTTGGACACTCATGAGTACAAATGTTCATAATGACAAGCCTAACTTCATATCAATATGGAAGATCATTTGTAAATCCATCTCCATTGTTCCTGTCTTTTAATGGAAAGAAATGATCTGAATCACTGGGCTAAAGCTGCTGCACATTGTCAACTGTTATTGAGCAGTGACCCCTACTGGAGATTTAAGATATTGCACTTCTCATGTAATCATCCCATAAGGACTGTTGTAGGTAAAAGACGTTTAAACAAGTAGCTCTCACATAAAAAGGTTATTTTTACACATTGGCTAAATCATTCTTATTTTGGTATGGAGTCAATAGAGGGTCAAATGTCTTGTAGCTATGTATCACCATTTCTGTGTGTGAAAACGTTATGAATAATACATTCTGATATCTATAAATGTGTGAACTTTATTTAAACAAATAGGTTTTCCTTTTTGAATCTTTAGGAAGATCTGTAGCTCCGCATCACATTTTGTGAACAAATAAAAACATGTGTGCATAAATCATTTTGATACGTGCGAGTGCATAAAGAACATGTCCTCAAGGGTTTGAATTTACATATATGGTTTTACTTATGGAGGACCGAACATGACACAAGTATACATAAATACATGTATGAATAAAAACATAAATAAATACAGGAATAATGAATTTCAGTTTCTTAAATCACTTAATCACTGATTATAATGTTCTTCTTACTTGCAATTCTCTAGCTCATTAATGCCCCTGTGCTTACAGTTCCCCACCAGAAATATAATAAACATGCCATTCTTTTCAGTTTATCTTACTCTGGTGGCTTACTTGATGATTTAACAGATATAATGTTCAATTAAAAGTGAATTGAGAAGCTGAAGACCAAACTTGTCACTGGGTGTTGAACCTTAGGTTGCTGCATGTTCATTTAATGCTTAGACCTCTAGGCCACTAATATAGTTTTAAAGCATGATCGCCCATCTGTTGCCGTGACGTTTTCTCAAGTGTATTTGTACCTTTACGCACACAATGCACATTAAAGCGGCATGCATCTTTTACGCAATGCTGTTTGGTGGGTCGCCTTGTATTCTGTGGATACGACAACATTCATAACTATTGTACTTTAAATTCCTCTGACAAGTTTTAACACATGTACGTAGTGAGGTGTCTTTAACAATATCTTTGAATTGCTATAATAAAATCCCCCTTTAATTTGGAATCTTTGTACACAGCAAGGAGAAACACAGAGCACTTCTATCTTTGAGCAGATCACATGGTAAATAAATATTCTGAAATTGGACATTGAGTATTAATACAGTTGTAGCTGGCCAAAAACTGAAAACGGGTGTTTCGAACCTGTCATTGTTATGAAATCCATCTCCAGTCTTTCTCCATCTTTAGTTGGAGAACTAAACTATATCTGAGTGGATTCCAAGTTGTGATCTTTTTACACTGTATTCCCACTACTTATACCTTCTATATTCAACACATTATGTTCTTTGACTGTAGACGCCCAATTGTGAAGATGATATTGAATTCTCTATAGGTGGCTTTAGCTCAAGAGGTAAATGGATGTCTATCAACCTGAAGGTCACTGGTTCACTTCCATCTCAGATCACATGCAACCAACAAGGCTATAGCGACTGTTCTTTAACATAGCTATCTATTTCAATTTTTATTTATTTCATGGATATCAACATTCATACATTTCTGCAATACATGTAGTTAGTGTTTTTATTCTTATGCATTTATTTCTATTGTAGGCCTAAATGTAATTTATTTGTCGAAATACTTTTAACCCGTTAAATAACTCCATGTTTAGATGTCACTTATTTGCAGTTACTCATTTAATTCGCTTTCCCCCCCCCAGTTTGATACTCTGGTTAAATGTTACATGTGAGAGAAAACATACAGTGGCCAGTACGGGTATCGAACCCGCGACCTTCGCGTTATTAGCACGACGCTCTAACCAACTGAGCTAAACGGCCATTGGTAGTCCCTGTAGTGACGTAATCAAACAAATTAATAAACGAAACCTACAGAACCGGGAAGGTAAATATTCCTGGTTGGTATCTCGTTACAAGGTGTAGGCTACAACTGTTATTGAGCAGTGACCCCTACTGAAGATTTAAGATATTGCACTTTAAAATACTTCTCATATAATCATCCCATATGGACTGACGTATGTTTAAATGATGTTCACACATTTATAGATATCAGAATGTATATATATATATATATATATATATATACACACACATTCTGATATCTACGCGTTAACTTGACAGCCGTAATATATTCATAACGTTTTCACACATCGAAGTGATATAGCGCCAAGACATTTGACCCTCTATTGACTCCATACCAAAATAAGAATCATTTAGCCAATGTGTAAAAATAACCTTTTTATGTGAGAGCTACTTGTTTAACCCCTAGAGCGACCAGTGTGAATATGTAACATTCATGAAAATAAAGGTTAGACAAAAGGACTTCTGTTCACACACATATACAAGTTTACATCTGTGTCTTTATTGTTATCATGTTAACAAAACAGGTGAACACGTAACATCTCAGCTGCTAAGGACAAGTTGTGCGAGATGCACAAACTGAGGGAAAAGTATCTGAACAAGGCCCATCATTCCACTTCCCCCACCAGTTGTTGAGTACACAGTCTTCACCTCGTCCGCTGTTGTTTGGTTGTCCTCTGTACCAAAAGAAATACTTGGCTGCACACCCATCAGACCACATCCATCTTCCTTCTTTGGGGATGTCATGGAGTCCGATCCATGTATATCCCTCAGCAGGGTCAGAGCTTTGGATCAGGAATTTGACAAAATCCTCTTCCTCTCTACTGTGGATAGACACCAGGTTGCCTCCCTGGGACACACAGTAGAGCTCTGCATCAGCCCAGGTCGTCTCTGTGTTGAAGTACTTGTAGCAGCGGCCGTTGAAGGAGAACCAGAAGGAGGGACAGGTGTCTTGCTGCAGATCCATTTGAGTGTCATCTGAAGAAGACACAGCACCCAGAGCCAGGCCCAACAGGAAGAGGAAAACCAGCATGATGATGATGTCACCGTCTCTGTCTGTTAAAGTTGCACTGAACCGTTGGAGAGGATGGCGATTGTGAAGCTTCAAGTGACAGGCTGCTTGTTATATATGTGTGGGAATGTGACGTCATTGTCACGTGACGTGATCACATGACCGGTGCCCGGTAAACTGTAAATTATAAAAGTTTTTCCGGCAGTTTCAGAAAACTTTTCGCTTGTCTGCACGCTCACCGATATCTCTGACGGTTCAGTGCAACTTCAAACGGGAAATTGAGTGAGAGTGAAATTACGATTGTGAGTCTTTTCAGTACATCTTCGTGGACATTGTTGGGTGCATTTGGTTTGTTTGAGTGTAGTACGACCGGGGCACGGTCTCCCCAAACGGCTTTGCTGTTTGGGCCCCTCCCCCCGGTGCTGTGATCTTGTGCGGCGCAAGTGTTGATGGCAACTGCGTCTGGAGTGGACAGTGCAGAGGTGCCGAACATGGAAGGCGGAAGAGCTGGTGAAAAGACGGACGAAAGGAAGGACAACGAAGAGCAAGAACAAGGCAAGAAAACGGGAGAGGAAGGAAAAGAGGGGCAGAAGGAGAGAGTGAGGTACAGTGTGGATTTAACTGTGGAAGTGGTTGTGGAAGGTGTATTGACTATGATGGACCTGCTGAAAGGAATTCAGAAACAGTGTGGGACAGTGGATGGGTGCAGGGTGACAGGAGAACAATACGAAGTAACTATGAGGACCATCCTGGGGAAAACGAAACTAATGGAGGGGCTGAGAGTGAATGGGGCTGCGGTACACGCTAAAAACATTATGAGCACTGATGCGACCGTCTCTTTCCTGCATCTGCCTGTTTATCTGCCTGATAGAATAATATTAAATAGGCTTGAGGAGTGGGGAGTTAAGCCCATCTCGGTCATTAAAAAAAGAGTGTGGCCAGACTCGGACATTGCAGACGGCACCCGGTTCCTCAGAGTAAGGTTCAATAATAAGGTCCGCTCCCTACCGTACTCCACAAAGTTTGACACGGTGAAAGGGGCGGAGTACTTCCGGGTCCTGCACAATGGCCAGGTTCCAGTGTGCAGGTTATGCATAAAGCCGGGTCATATCTACAGGGAATGCCCAGACTTCAAGTGCTTCAGGTGCAATGAGCAAGGACATTATGCCAAGGAGTGCAGGTATGGAGCTGAGCGTGCGGAGAGAGAGAGGAGAGAGAGAGAGAAAGAGAGAGAGAAAGAAGACGGGGAAGGCGAGGAGGAAAACGAGGAGGAAGACGAGGAAGAGGAGGAGGAAGACGTGGGGGAAGGCGACGAGGCGGAGGGAGCAAAGAAAAGACCCCATGAGGAGATCAGCAGTGAGGATGAAGGTCCAGTGGTGGAGGACATCTCGGGGGCTTCGGGGATTGAAGAGGAAGCACCTGACGTTGGAAAGAACAAGAAAAGTGCCAGGCGCGGCGGCGGAGGCGCCGAGGGAAGCAGCAGAAGCGCCGATGTGAGCAGCAACGAGGGAAAGGAGCAACAGGGTCCGGTGGTGGAGGACATCTCGGAGGCTTCAGGGATGGAAGAGGAAGTGCCTGATGGAGAGGAGGGTACAATGGGCGCAATGGTCTTCGGGGTCTCCAATGGTGGGAGGTCGAGAGGTCGCAGCCAGAGGAGAGACAGGAATGAGGAAAGGAGGGCCACATCGGAGAGTGCCAGGCTGATGGCTAAGCGAAAAGAGGACAAAGAGAGAGAGTCAGAGAGAAGGAGGGCGAGCTTGAAGGGAGGGGGGGGCCGGGAAAGACATAAGCTGAAGATGACACTAATAGCTGGCATATTAATAGCATCCCTTCTCATGGCTACTATATCATCATTTAATGGCAATGGTCTAAGAAATAAGTGCAGAAGACGCCGGGCGCTAAGTCTGTGTGAGGCCAGCATCATATGTCTGCAGGAAACACATTGGGATGGGGCGAGTGTGGATGAGGTGAAAAAGGAGTGGAGAGGTGAAGTGTTTGCAAATAATGGGGGTGAGCGGGCTAGAGGGGTGGCAATACTTATCAATTCGGGGGATGTGAAGAATGCAAGGAAGGTTGAGGATGATGGTGAAGGGAGGATGATTGGGGTACAGTATGAATACATGGGGGACACGTTTAAGTTGATCAATGTGTATGCACCTAATACAAAGAGGGAGAGAAGGGTTTTTTTTTGAGGGGTTGGATGGTAAATGTGGGGGGAACTGTTTGATTGTGGGAGACTTTAATGTGTGGTGTGGGAAGTTGGATGCGCCTGCGGGTGCTCGATTCAGGAATGACTCTTCTAGGGTGGCGCTCCAAAAGATTATGGATGAGAATGGGTTGATAGATGTGTGGAGAGAAAGGAATATGGATGTTAGGGAATCTTCTTGGAGACGAGTGGTGAAGGAGAAACTTCTGCAGAGCAGGATTGATTTGGCTCTGTGCTCGGAAGCTGTGAATGAAAAGGTTGGGAAGATTGAATATAGGACCACGGCGTTGAGTGATCATATGGTTCTTGGTCTCAGGATGGGGCTGAAAGTGAATGGGAGAGGCGGGGGGGTGTGGTGCTTGAATGCGAAACTACTGATTGATGAGGTGTATAAAAAAAGGGTGA